TCTACAACGTCCTCCTCGTGGTGATCTACAAAGTGTTCTACAACCTCTTTTATTCGGCTATCCTTGCCGAACTCTCAGCCTTTAACACCGGCACCCGCACCTTTAACTACATTCACGCGTTCCTCACGGCTCGCATGACCGAAATCACCACAGCAAATCTTCCGTATCCTACGTACAAGCTTGGCCCTCGTGGCGCCGCTCAGGGTGCCATATTTTCGCCGTCTCTACCTAATCTTACCCTCCGCTAGCTTCCTGGAAAGCTGGACCGTATCCCCGGTCTTAAAGACACCCTGTAGGCTGACGACATCGCCTTTTGGATCACATCGTGTTCTGATGGCCATATCGAGCAGACATTGCATCACACAGCCAACGTCGTGACATCCCACGTGCACGCGGCTGGTCTCACTTGCTCGTCGGCCAAATCGGCCCTCCTTTTTATGCGGCCTCCCGACCGCCGTCACTACGAATCGCGCTACCCTACAAACAGTGTGCACGTCAACTGCACTCTCGTGCCCATCGTTCCCATCTCCGCGTGCTCGGGCTGATACTACAGACCAACAAGTGTAACACACATACCGTCGACAAGCTCTCGCTTTCGGCACAACAGACCGCACGAACTCTCGCCCGTGTCCACACGTGCGTGCGAGCATGTAAGAACACAAGCTGTGTAACCTGGTTGACAACTTTGTTGTTTCCGGTATCACGTACGCCCTTCCTCATACTAGTCTCCTCAAATCAAAACACGACAAGAATGACGTCCTCATTCGTCGAGCATACAAGACTGTCTTCAGCGTTCTCCTCAACACGTCTAAGGATCATCTTTTACGCCTTGATGTACTCAACACATTAGGCAAGTTGATTGAGGCTCACCGTTCTGCTCAGGTGCAACGCCTCATTCACTGACCGGTCGCCACATACTTTCCTCCATCGGCCACGACACCTCCTCCCACCCTCCAGATCCTATCTCGTTGACCCACAATGTTCGAATGGCCTTCTGCATCAAGCCGCTGTCTGCGAATATGCTCGCGGGTCATCCCGACACGTGCCGCGAAGCCCGGCCCAACATGCCTCACGCCAAGTACGCTGACCATCCTGCCGTTGCATACATTGGATGCGGCCCGATGCTACTCACCCAGGGATGCCTTCGTTGTCGTTTTCGTGCCGCCTTCCTCAGTGCCTTCTGGGCCTACAATCGTGACCAGCACCATTCGAACACCCGACGTCGTCAAAGGGGGGGGGGGGGGGGAGGAGGCCATCACTTTGGCTGCTACCTCAGCCGACGCTCGCATCATAGTCAGTGACTCCAAACGAGGCATCTCAAATTTCTGGGGAAGTCATATTACCCTACGACTCATTCATCCACTACTGTAGCAAGGTGAGTGGCGCCATTTTGAACTTATTATTGTCTCTACCCATTCGGGTCACCCCGGAAACGAGACAGCTCACCAACGCGGATTCATCGACCGAGTGGTGGGCCTCTCATAGACGGACATCCCGCTGCCGAAGGCCCTGGTCACTCACTACGACATTGCCGAGCCCTATCACCACGAGCGATACACCTACCCACCCTCTTATGTAAGTATTCCTAATCAGTTTGACGCCGCCTGGCATCACTCATACAGACCTACATCTTTACGTGCCCCCTCGTCTTTTCCTACATCCACCCAGTCATTGATGCACGCTGCTGCCTGTGTGGCAGTATGGCCTTACTGAACCACATAATCTGGGGCTTCCCGTAATTTTCCCTGCCCACCGACCTCTTTTACCCACCCCCTATCGAGGAACAATGGGAGGTTCTTTGCAACACCGAAAGGGACATTCAAACATGGATCCTGGAACGAGTGCTAGACGGGACCGAGGGGCAGGGCCTGGCACCCTACTTGGCTTAGCCAGTCTCATACCCCACCCTTTCTATGAATGAAAGTTGTCACTCACTCACTCCACTCGGCTCTCTTTCTCTCTCTTATCGTTATGGCCCTGTTCCTTCCTGCCTCTTAATGGTATGTCGATTATGTAAACGCGGTGGCGTCTTTGCATTCAGCCATAGTGGGAATTTCTCGTGCACATGATGCATTTACATTGCGTACGACATAATGCCCACAGGACGGGGAGTGAAGTGCGCTGCGTCGAACCTTCGCTCCCTCCTGAAGGAGAACCCTGCGCATGTCTATGGCTGCGTGCAAGGTCGTGTAATGAATGAATCCCTAAGCTTTTGCGAAAAGCACGATGTAATACATGCTTATTACAGTTATTACAAAACGCTGCCACCCCGGTGTTTCGTTTAACGGCACGAGATGGCACGACGTGTCTGTCTGCCTTAGAGTTACTGTTTGCCTATGCGGCAGCCTGCACCACCAAACAAGAATAGTGCACGGGTGGCGTGCGACGGAGCGGTAGGGATTCGCGTGGAGGAAAATTGGAGGCATGCTAACTGCTACAGTGTTCTAGTGTACTAACTATGAACTGGTGCGGGGTGTGTTTACGTGGAGTGTTTGGTTTTATTGATTTTCAGTGTCTTTAAGGGGGGGGGTGTCTGGCTGGGGCAGATTAATCTTGCCCGCCCAACTTCAAGGACATCAGCCTACAACACTTATCATCATTCTCATTTAGTGTGCCTCAGTGTGCTGAGCATCGAGGCACGCACACCCTAGTCTGAAAGTGCATCGAAGTTAGTGCCATCTCCCCTGGGACCTGGGTGGTGACTATAGTAGTAGCAATAGATGAAAACTTTTTATTTATTTAAATTTTATAAAAAACGGGAAGGGTCCATATTTCATGACAACTGTGACAGCCTCTGCGACAGCCCGGGCCTGCTGAGCGAGAGTTTCTTCCCAATATTGTAGTGGCGACACCCTTTGTCCAGGTGATTGCCATATTGGAGCCAAGTCGTTACTCAGACGCTGCTGAAAGCGAAGTGCGAAGTTGATAATAGGCACGTGCGTGAAACAGCAGAACTAAAGTTGGCCTGTGCCATAGCGCGTATCTGCCTGCTTTGAGACAGCATGGCGGCTCTGTCACAGTTGTTACCACGCTGAACCTAGCATGACAGGACCGCTTCACTGTAATATTGAAACATGCGGGGTGATCTACGGAGTCGAGACTGCCATGTATGTCGTAGTCGGCTCGGTGAAGTTGTTTCTGTGGTACAATAGAAAAGCCGAGCCCATCCTAACGCTGAGGTTGCGATGCCTGCGTCGCGCTAGTTCTTGTGTGTGAGGGGGGGGGGAGGGCATGGACTTCGCCCTGGTCACCCTTTACGGTTGTTTGGGAGAAACGTAAATTTAAAGACGTCCTCGCCCGCAATTCATTTAGTAGGAGCCAGGGGCTGGGATTCCCAGCTACGAAAGCAGCATCACCCAGGTGACACAACTAGTTTTAGCTGGAGATTCAACATCTATCTCCAAAACCGGCAAGTCGATGGCTACCTGTCTTTCATGAAGGTGCTACAGTGGGCGTCTTCTTGCTTTTCACCCATCGGAATTAAACCTGGCCATGTGTTTGCTTGGGGGATGGGGAAGCTGAAAGTCCCCGCTGCGTCTTGAATTTTCCGCCGCGCCTACGCGATGCACTCTAACATTTTCTAAAAAATCGATTCTACAGTTAAGAAAGTTACTATTCTAGTTGATGAGCAACGTGATTAGAACTGTCTTTTGAGTGGTGAGACTCCCACAGCACAAACGTTCCGCAAAGACATCAACTGTTGTTTTGATTGCCAACGTACCCTAGTCACCGTCTGAATCTTTGGCAACGCGAGCAGCAGCCAATACACTGGTTAGCACTGGGACTCAGGTCTGGATCGTACGAGGATGCCAATATATAAAAAAGCAGCGCTACGGTAATAACCGCAGAGCCGAACCACGAGATTGAAGTAACTAGAAGAATAAGAATGGGGTGGAGCACATTCGGCAAGCACTCTCAAATTATGACAGGTAGATTGCCACTATCCCTCAAGAGGAAGATATATAACAGCTGTATCTTGCCGGTACTTAGCTACGGAGCAGAAACCTGGAGACTTACAAAGAGGATTCAGCTTAAATTGAGGACGACGCAGCGAGCAATGGAAAGAAAAATGGTAGGTGTAACCTTAAGAGACAAGAAGAGAGCAGAGTGGATTAGGGAACAAATGGGGGTTAAGGATATCATAGCTGAAATCAAGAAGAAGAAATGGACATGGGAAGGGCATGTAGTGTGTAGACAGGATAACCGCTGGTCATTAAGGGTAACTGACTGGATTCCCAGAGAAGGGAAGCGGGTTAGGGGGAGACAGAAGATTAGGTGGGCAGGTGAGATTAAGAAGTTTGCGGGTATAAATTGGCAGCAGCAAGCACAGGACCGGGTTAACCGGCGGAACATGGGAGAGGCCTTTGTCCTGCAGTGGACGTAGTCAGGCTGATGATGATGATGATGATGATGATGACTTGAAATATTTTGTCTTCGTTCTCCGACCACCAACTATTCCTGTCACTGGGGCATTACCCCTTGTGGTCCAAATCTTTGTGGGCACGCCCAGTAAAAAGTTTTTATTTTCAAACTTGTCGTCAATATAATCGCATTCATGTCCGCCCTCTCCATTCTTGTACTACTGCACATGAATCAGTTTTATGCAAGGGTACAAGTTCAGTGCTGTCAGAAGCCTTTACAAAAGCAAATACAAGCAATGAACACAATGTTTTTTGAGTTCTACGGGTCAAAAGTACAATAAGATTATGAGGCACCATAAGATAATACTTTTTTTAAACGAAATTCTCATGTGTTCCCAACGGCTCTAAGGGAAAGGTGGGTCGACAAAGACCCAAAACAACGCCGCATTAAGTACATCTTGCTTTATTTGCTTTTTTGTTTCTTTCAGTCATGGCGGTTGCCCGAAGCAGTAAAGGTCATCCGATTCCTTGGTTGCAGCAGCACATTTGGAATATATTAATTGGTGTGACAGGCTTTTTTTTCGACAACTGTTGTCCAGACAGAGGTCATTGGCCGGCCACATTGCTTGCGAGGAATGCTCAGTACGAGGCTTGCTCGAAGACCTCAGGGGCTTCGGCGTTGTCGGCGCCCGGATAGGGGCTTTTGAGCCGTACCAAGTGCAGCAGGTATTCACGCACTGAGCGCAGCAGCTGCTGCACACCCACCGCCACGCTGTAGTGGGCCAGCAGGCGTTTGGAGCAGTCCGCGTACGTGTCCAAGATGAGACCCACCGCGCTTGCATCAGCCGCGGCGAACTGCACCTGGCTGCCGTGCGCCGCACTCGACAGCCGCACGTCGCAGCGGAGCTCCTGCAGCGCATCCCAGACACGCAGTTCACTAAACAATTCCCACAGAGCACTCACTATCAACAGAGAAGAGCAGCAACAAGGCAGTGGCAACAAAAAGCGCGCAATGTCAGTTGGCCCAAGCAAATTTTTTAAAAATTTGTTTGTATGACAGAGGCACCAAAGTGCGCGTGTGAGCTAGAAACGAAGACAGTTTCCGTGGCACCTAAAGAAGACTTAGACCTCGTAGTACTCGCCTGTATTGTATAACTTATTATCGCAAATGGTAGTACCAGAAATGTCCCCTCCATTAAAATAACTAATTTTTATAACTCATCAATCTAGATTACTTTCACGAGGCAGTGGTACGTTCAATATATCGCTAAGTTCTGACCCCACTCAACAGCATCGATTCTTAGTGCTGTCTACTGATACGGCTTTCTCCAGTTGTCAAAATATATTTTTCATGTCGTACGCAAAACTAAGGCGAAATAACTGACATGAATATATGAGGACTTGGGGCATTTTGATAATTGACCCCATACGGATTCCTAGGTCGCATCTGCAAAGGCAACTTGTCAGAAGAGCCACTCTTACCTGTAGCTGGTCGGCGTTTCGTTGGCTGTTGGTAGCCACCTGGAGGGCCGTTGCGGCACCCGTGGCGCTGCGCTTGTTGGTTGCCGTGATAGCGTGGCCGCTGCAGCTTGCCACACCATGGCTTGTATTGACCATGTGCTGGACAAACGTGGTGTACGCTACGAGCAGCTGGTATATGCGCAGGAACGCCTGCTCCTCAGTCAACCGCTGCAAAAGGGGAGAGCGAATTGCTCAGCTTGAATCTCGATGCGACTATGAACTCTGGATTTTACGTAAACACGTTTCCGAGCTGGTTGTGCACCGCGTCCCAAAGCATGTTTTAAAATCAAGTTCTTTTATAGTCACTAACGTGTGCATTTAATCGTACATACCGGAGTGATCAGAATTGCAAAGATTTGGGGACCACTCAAGATCGCATTCATTCCTGATCGTTCATCCACTCGTGAGCTATATAGCTGTAAAGGTTCAAAAATGGAGAACTGATAAGACACAAAATTTGCAACCACCACTGACTAGAATGATACCACTCTCGATGGTGGTTGCAGTGCACAAGTAAAAACACCTCTGAACGAGCTCTAAAATTGGTTTCAACCCGCCAAATGTCAAGAGAGCGTTCAAGAGAGGTTTGTCTATATTATTGTCACGTGCTTGTCAAAAAGAAAGACAATGACAGTTGTGCATGTGCCATGAAGTACAATGAAATGGATTAAAAAGAAGAAATCTCTTGCGCGTTCTATTGAAAGAACCTACCTGCTTCTGGTGTCTCAGTTTCTCCGGGAAGACATATGTTTTGACGTCGTGACACTGATGGAGGTGCTGGAGCCTACAACCTGATGCAGGACAGTCTTGCTCGGACCCGTTCACCTAGTCCAGAGACTCAGCCCCTCGTCACGACTCCAGTGCACCGATTCAGTCGGCGCCTACTAGGCCTAAGTCCAGAGTCCGCACCTGTTCCGCCTCTTTCCAGCATGGCAGCTCCTACGACATCCACGGTTATCCCGCCATCGCAGACCACTCTTTCCTCGCAGGTGACTCTTGAACATCCTCGCGTTCCTGAAGTTTTCCGTGGGGAAGAGTACGAGGATGTCGAAGACTGGCTCGAACAGTTCGAACGGGTCGCTGTATTCAACCACTGGAGCGAACAGCACACACTTGGCCGTGCATATTTCGCACTGGAAGATAGCGCTCACACGTGATATGAGAACCGCGAGGCTACATTCCAATCATGGGAAGACTTCCGTCGAAAGCTCCTCTCTACATTTTTGAACTCGGACTGACGGGATCGCGCACAGCAAGTGATTGAGGCACGCGTGCAAAAACCCAATTAAACAGCCGCCATGTACGCAGAGGGTATAATCCGTCTGTTTCGACGAGCTGACCCTGACGTGCCCGAGGCGAAGAAGGTGCGTCACCTAATATAAGAGAGGCAACAATCATCGAGCGCGCACTGCAACAACGACGCCGACACTTTGACCGCCTGCAGAACCACACGGCAGTAAGTGCTGCAGCTCACAACACTGCCGTATGCGAAAGTTCCCTGCGACAAATGATTAGGGAAATACTGCGTGAGGAACTTCGGGTCCTCTGCGTTCCCCCTGCCCAACCGCCAGTCGCATCTGTTGCTGAAATTGTCCGCCAGGAGTTGAGGCAAGCCATTGCACCACCCGCGCCAAGTCCTGAGCCACATCCAGCGAGCTACGCTGATGTGGTCCGTCGCCCTACACCGACATTTGTGGTGACGCCCTTCCAGCCACGACTCGCTGCCGTATCTTGGTGGCAACGGGATTCTACGAGACGACCACCAGTTAACCGAACTGACTTGTGGCGCATGGCCGACCGTCGAGCTATTTGCTACCGCTGCGGAGAACCCGGTCACATTGCCCGCTATTGCCGTCACGGCGATTCAGGGTTCGGGAACTTTTCTCGTCCCGCTTCTTTCCGCTCCGAAGACCGTCGTGCCCACGATGCCGATCAACTATCGCCTGCCCAAGCAACCCCACCGCGTCGCTGGCGATCTCCATCACCTGCGCGTCACCGTGACTTCCCTCAGAGCTACGCGGACGTCACCAGGGGCCGTTCGCCTAGCCTACGCCGGGGAAACTAACTGATGCGACCTCGGGGGGTAAGGTTGCCAATCGTCGACACACTAAAAAGTTCCCCCAATCATCGCAAGAAGGTATGACGACAACGACGACAAATACGACGACAAATAATAATAGTGATGAAGTTGTACGTGCCGATCCGAGCGTTCTCATTGACGGACATCACGTTACAGCACTGGTTGACACTAGCGCCGACTTCTCAATCATGCGACAAGAGCTCGCCGACCGCCTTAGAAAGGTCAAGACACCGTGGACAGGGCCGCACATAAGGAGTGCTGGTGGTCAGCTGATGACACCCACAAGTAAATGCACCACTAGACTTCGCATCGGGGTTCTAACTTCGTGGCCACTTTCGTCCTGTTGCCAGACTGCTGTAAAGAGTTAATTTTGGCCATGGATTTTCTTCAAGATCATGACGCTGTTATCAACAACCCTCAACGTATGGTGACGTTTTGCGCACATCCTTATGCCGACAACAGCAGTGAAGAACCACGCGGCCGCTTGCGAATAGCCGACGATGTGACACTCCCACCGAGATCCTGCTGCCTTTTGTCAGTGTCCAGTGGGTGTCCTTGCTATAAAGATGTGATAGTGGAGCACATAGTCACTCTTTTGTTCACGCAAGACATTTCCATCGCGAGGGGCGTCCTGGCGCTTACTGGTGGACAGGCAGAAGTGCTCCTCACAAACTTCAGCAACGAGCGCCGTCAAATCCAGAAAGGTACCGCAATTGCCTACTACGACGATGTAGACCAAGCCGGGGATTGTTTTACCTTGAAACCAGATAACGCGGCTGTCCCAGCCGCGACAACTTTATCGGTGGACATCTGGTCTACGCTGGTCTACGATTGATCTGGTCTACGATTGACCAAGCACCGCGTCATTACTGAAGACAACACGCGACCGATTCGACAAAACCCCTACCGTGTGTCTCCGAATGAGCGCGAGGAGATTCAGAAGCAAGTACACAAGATGATCGCGGATGACGTCATACAACCTTCGAAAAGTCCTTGGGCGTCCCCCGTAGTTTTGGTCAAGAAGAAAGACGGCAGCTTGCGCTTCTGTATTGATTATCGCAAGTTGAACCAAGTCACGAAGACGTCCATCCACTGCCTCGCATAGACGATTCACTCGATCGGCTGCGTCATGCGTGCTATTTCTCTTCAATGGACCTCCGAAGCAGCTACTGGCATATAGAAGTCGACGAGAAATATAGTGAAAAAACAGCCTTCGTGACGCCCGACGGCCTATACGAATTTAAGGTGCTTTTTTTGGGGTTGTTCTCGGCGCCAGCCACTTTTCAGCGTCTCATGGACACCGTACTATCGGGCCTGAAGTGGCAAACATGCTTAGTCTATCTGGATGATGTTATTGTATTCTCAGCAACATTCGAGGAACATCTCAGCCGTTTATTCACCGTCCTCCAAGCCATACGTTCGGCCGGCCTTACTTTAAAACCGGAAAAATGTCATTTTGGTTTTAACGAACTCAGCTTCCTAGGCCACGTCGTCAGTCACGGGGGTGTTCGACCTGACCCGGCCAAAATAGACGCCGTAGCGCAATTTCCTGCACCACGCGACAAAAAAGGCCGTGAGACGCTTTTTAGGGTTGTTTGCTTATTACCGCCAATTTATCGAGGACTTTTCGTCTATTGCGGCGCCATTGACACGACTCACGCGTGAGGATGTCTCCTTCTTTTGGGGTGAACAACAGCAAATGGCATTCAATGAACTACGACAACGCCTGCAAACACCTCCAGTCCTCGCGCACTTTGACCAGGAATCCCCTACAGCACTTCACACTGACGCCAGCAATGTAGGTCTGGGTGCCGTCCTAGTGCAGTGGCAACACGGCTGTGAAAGAGTAATAGCCTACGCCAGAAGAACTCTCCCTCGCATGGAAGAGAGCAACTCGACTACCAAGAAGGAGTGCCTCGCCGTGGTGTGGGCGGTCATCAAATTTCGTCCATATTTGTACGGCCGCTCTGTCAAGGTTGTTAGCGACCATAACTCTTTGTGCTGGCTCACCAACCTTAAAGACCTGTCTGGCCGTTTGGCGCGCTGGAGCCTAAGACTTCAAGAGTTCGACATGACCATCGTTTATAAATCTGGGAAGCGGCACACCGACGCCGACTGTCTCTCACGGTCGCCAGTGCAGACTGTCGCTCGTGATGACGAAAACATCAACGTGGCATTCTTGGGAGTTGTCAACACGGCCACTATTGCACGGGAGGAGCGCAGTGACCCCGAGCTGTTACCACTCATTGAATATTTAGAAGGACGACGTAAGGACGTGCCGCGGTTATTGGCCAGAGGACTGCCATCTTTTTGCTTGCGAAACGATGTTCTCTATAAGAAAAACTTCTCACCAACCGGCAACCCGCACTTGCTCGTCGTGCCTGCCTCTCTTCGAAAAGAAATAATAGATGCGCGCCGTGATGAAGCAACTTCTGGTCATCTAGGCTACACCCGAACATTGTGCCGACTACGATGCAAGTGCTACTGGCCAAAGTCACCCGCTGATGTTAACAATCACGTGTGAACTTGCACCGACTGCCAAAGACGCAAAGCACCTCCTAGTAAGCCAGCCGGTCTTTTACATCCAGTCGAAGCACCAGCGAAGCCGTTCACCCAGATTGGAATGAATTTCCTGGGCACCTTTCCAACTTCCACAACAGGGAACAGATGAATAATCGTGGCCACCGATTACCTCTCCCGTTATGCGGAGACTAAAGCTATGGAGCGCGGCACAGCAGCAGAGGCCGCTCAGTTCTTCATCTAAAACATCGTCCTTCGGCATGGCGCTCCGACAGCAGTGATCACAGACAGAGGACCTGCCTTCACCGCAGAGCTTTTGGAGTCGGCTCTCAGACTCAGCGGTACAGCTCACCGGAGAACAACTGCTTACCATCCGCAGACAAACGGACTGACAGAGCGCCTCAATAGGACCCTCACAGACCTCACAGATCAGCATGTACGTTGACACGGAACATAAAAACTGGGATCAAATATGGCCGTACGTGACCTTTGCCTATAATACCGCTCGACAAGAAACCACTGGAATGACGCCGTTCAGTCTGATCTATGGTCGCGAAGTCACGACAAC